TCTTCCCTGGCCGTTTTTCTTCTCGTTCCCCAGTCTCAAGCTTAATAATTGAAAACGAGGGTGTTGGTGAATAGGTACGAATACATGAAAGGATAAAACACCAAGAAAGCAAGACTTTTTTTAAAGAAGTCCTGTTTCTGTCCCGGTCCTCGATGTTCTTTCCCTTCATGTATTCGTATATCAGGTTTAACGTCATGTTCAAGTTACACCAGCACGCCTGCACTCTGAATATTTTTCCGTTCACAGTAATTGTGCACTCAAGGTTGTGTGACGTAATCACGCCGTACCCGGTACTCAAGTAAAGAATAACAGCACAAAGCTTTCCATTGTTCGGGCGTGCGCTAAACACTTTCGCTTCTTGCCACGTTAAAAGTGAACCAAAAGCACAAAATATATTAGCCACTGACAAAACATTTAGAGCGTGCGAACCGAATTTCAGCGTTACAAGACAGAACCTTGATGAAATGCATCCACAGCCAACCATGAACTACCCTGTTTGCTGGGCCAACTTTGTCGAAGGCTGGTAAACGTGCCGAATTCAAAGAGATGCTGGCAAGCCTTCTCGATATCAAGACTGCCCGGATTTCACACCGCCCGAGCTTGCTTACAGATTCCAGGATACGGCGATGCCTGTGTCCTCGCGCGATGCGCAGGACGGCGAAGCGACGGAAGCAGTAAGCTTGAATAACCTAAGCGATTTAGGAGAGCAAAATCAGCTGCTTGTTGTGACCGGGCCTCAAAACCGGAGCTCACAAGCTCCGCACAAGGAGGATGGTTGGGTCGGGATCGAAACTGATCGCCATTACTTTCCTTACTCAACACTCTGCGACTCTGTCTTGAAAGCCAACTCCTTTTTCAATTGCTTGTGAGACACGACACCGAAGTGATGATTAAGTGACTTCAAGTCGATGGTAGGAACGATGCAACATCGGCGGTTTGTCCATCTTAGAAAGTGCAAAAGCGAACAGGAGAATCCAAGGAACAAAAACAAACAATACAGAAGGGACTTGACAGCATCTGCGACTACCTGAACAAGGTCGGACTGGCGCCATCACCAGAAAAAACGAAATACACAATTTTGGTGAACGACTATCAGATAATTGACCTAGACCTCGCGTTTGACGGACAATGAATCGACAAGGAAGCAGAAGTCAAGCTGCTTTGTGTGCACTTCGGAAACGGCACGCACGTGGCAAACAATTGGCTAAACACTATCACACGAACGTGGAAACAAGGCTTGCAGCTTATCCGGCGCATATCCCACAGAATGGCTGGTGCGGGAGAGAAAACCGCCAAGACTCTCGTACAGTCAGTCCTCGTATCCAAGATAATGTACGGTGTTCGGTTCTACAAGCTCACGCACCGACAGATGAAAAAGCTTGACTCGTTATACAACGATGCACGGAGAGCCATACTTGGACTGCCAAGATTTGCCAACGTTGAAGCAACTAAGCAGTGCGTACAGCTCACCGATTGGAGACTAGACCTCGAGAAACAAGTCGCCACACACAACGCTTGACTGAAACACACAGAGCACGGCAGAAACATAGCCAAGCTTCTCAACCCTTGAGGGCAAGAATGATGCAGGGGACATCCCACCACCCGCACCCCTATGGGACCTCATCGACCTCACACAGTCCAATCCAATCCCGCGCAACATGGACGCGCAGAAACACGCTAAACGAAGGGAACACTACGCCCGAAAACACGCAGTCGAAGTTCGAACGTTACTGGCGGACCCGTCCATCACTGTCACGTACACTGACGCGGCGATGAAAATCGCCGGCCCAGAGACTGCCACGACAGCCGCTGCCATCTTCTATTCTACAGACAGCCCAATGGGGACGTCGATCTCGACCACAATCCAACCACGAGGAACCGATCCTTACTCTCCCGAACTCGCCGAAGCCAAGGCAGTGCTCTTCGCGATAGAGAGCCACTTAAGACACCTAGAGGTGACACAAAGACAGCACGACGCAAATCAACTATACATATTTACGGACTCGCAGCACGTCATCCGAGAATGCAAAAGAGACGGAGCCTCGACGTGCAGAACCATCAAACGCATTTTCCACACTGCTCTGCACCTATTCCGTGTACACGAAACAGAGGTCTGCATCTGATGGATCCCGGGACACACACTCGAAGAAAAAATGAAGGAAAAAACTAGCAACGGCGCGTCTTTCTCCCTTCTACTGACGCGACCCCAAGCGGACACGAGAAAAGGGGAGGAACGAAACGTTTTTCTCCTTCTACAGGCAGACGGGAGAAAGCTTTCGCTCTCCCGACTCATCTTCTTTCGGTTTCGTTTTTCGAGCAGGTGGCGCGCGTTGTTTAATAAATAGCTGTTGAGTTGATTGAGCTTCAGCGGCAGCGAAGGCCGCCTGTAATTCCGTCTTCTAGGCTAAACGTGCAGAAGTTCATTAAAATATCTTGAATAGGTAACACGTGAAAAATTGACAAACGTTGCCAATATGTATTAAAGAAACTCATTTCGGATTTTTTGTTTGCTTTAATATCCTAAAGTATATAAGAAAAAAAAAATTCCGCTTGAATGCGCATAATGCAAACTGCTTCGAAAGTGTCACGAAAAAGTCGTAGTGTATTAGTTTGATCAGTAAAAAAACAGGAGTGGTCAAACATGTGATCTCCAACGGACTGAAGAAACGCCTCGGCCGCTTCAATGGCTAATAACTTGAAAACAAAATATCCACCAAGTTTGCCGATTACGCTCTCTTTCCTTTCAAGAATGCGGCCAAAGCATAAATATTGTTATCAAACTTAAAAATGGACCCTAAAACCGTACCCGATTTGAGATTAAAACATTTAAATGAACAATTTTTCTAGCGTTACAGAATTGGACAACGAGAAACGTGCACTCACATAAAAACATGAATTTGCTTAGAAATAAGAAACATGACATCGGTGTAACAGCGCACAACAACGAAGACTAGGGAAAGGAACTAACTATACACAGGACATATTTTTACAGCTTTCTGTGTTCATTCCTCTCCTTGGTCTTCCTTGTTTTGCGGTATTATATATTATATATTTGACTTTCGCCACTAGCCTAGATCTTAATTTTATTACTTTATTCCACTTTTCTTCGTACTTAGTACCTTCCTAGAGAAGGGCTCTAGTTCTGTTCCTTCCTTCAGTGTGGGCGGAGCATCTGTTGCATGTTAGGTTGCATCAAAAATTAGCGACGCGAAGCTGCGAATGGTTCTTCCCGCACCTAGTTGGAACTTTTTGAGGGTTGTTTAAAAGCGCTACCGAAAAACAAAGCAGCGATGTTTCTTTTTATTATATCGAAAGCGATGATCCCCAAGTAGCGGGCGTAAGATATATGCTTGCGATTTAAATTATGTAATGAAAATAGATGTAAGGAACAAGTGTTGGAGCTAGAAACGTGTGCAACTTTCAGCAATTAGAAAAACTCAGACGTTTTTGAGATTCTTACTATTGCGAATGTCCCGTTGTTGGATATCTGGGACCATGTTTAACCGTTCATTTTAGAACGGCTGTCTAACATTTCAGTGAAACAATTTATTGGAATAAACGAGAAGAAAAAAAAAACGGTTTCAGGAACGTGTAGATGGTAACCGAAACCGTAAAAATTAAAACCGTAAAATCCGAAACGAAACCTCTATATACAGAAAGCGGTAATAGTAACCGTAACCAAAACTTTATAATTTTCGGTTTGAGTCTCTGGAGAAATGAACCGCAACTGATCGCATAAGGACATCTTTCCGGTATGTTGTACGACACGTCGGATGTTTTCCTATGCACGTGTCTGGACATATCCTATGTACTGGTTCGTCATCGTTATAGAGCACTCGCCACCTGCAGGAAGGACGAGCCAGCCTGTGTTTCTATAGCTACCGTACGTGCAATCATAGCCAATTTTTTTCAATAGTGCAAATTCGTTCCGCGGCTCAAAACATGAATTTCACTATGTTTTGTTTTGTGTTTTCAAATTTTAACCGTGTTGCCCAAGCAATTTTCATTTACTTTATGTTTCTAAGGGGCGTCGCCTCTGGTAATATATATCTCGAACTTGTCTTATTTGTTTTCACCACGTAGAACCTCGATTTAGAAGAAATAACACCATAGACTTTGGAAGGACACCGTTTGTAAATCTATTAGTTCATAGATGCGAACACAAAATTTGACTCAGTGCCGCTTTAAATTTCAACTACAGAAAAGATAGACATTAAAAAAAACAAGAATTGTTACCGGCGGAGAGTTCTTATGAACCTGTACATATATCAACACCTTGTGATATAAACACGGTACAATAATGACTGAAAGGCAAATGAATCAGACCGAGACAACACTTGCCTGAATATTGCGGCGGTCCTAATATCACTGGAGTTTCTGCGTTGTTTGGTGGCAGCAGGTTTGAGCGGCAGTCCCGGCGTTATACTGGGGAATGCTACATCCGACGAAGCTCGTTATCGGCGTCACAGGTGGGTTTCCATGAAGGATCGTGCATTGCAGCGTTTCTGCAACCACAGGTGTTCTTTGATGATTTCGCTCCAGCTCGGCATTCAAACTTCCGCCTGAAACATAAAAGATCGAACCCGTGATTACAATTTATTATTGTTTTACCTGACATTAAAAAGAAATACGAAACAAAATCGGAGAAAAAAAAAGGCAGACATCATTGTAGAATCTGAAATCAATACTTTATTTTACTAAACAGGTTTGTTTAATATTAAGGACGATAATTAATTTGCCATGCGTTCCAATCTATTCGCGACGAGATGTTTTGATGGCGTCAACTTGTGGGCGCTCTCCTTGGACGGATCGGGTAGGATTTGAGCAGAGAACGCGCTACGTATCGCGCGGTGAGGCAATGTTAGGTCGCATTTATTCCGATTAAAAACGGTTGATTTGTAAAAGAAACATGCATCATTTTCGTGAGTGATTTTTCTAGTGAATAATAGCACCTTCAAATTCATGTTATATTGCAATCTTTAAATTATTCAGTTACAAGCATGGAGCATCACATGAAAGTCACGGGTATTCAAGTTCAAGTGTAATTGCTCTCAAGAACATATGAATAATGTATTACATGATAAGGTGAAAATAGTTATTCAATTATGTTGGTACAGATTAAAAATGTGGATGCCAGCACTATGTAGGCAGTTCACAGTAAGCATGCAAGAAACGACAGGCACGCGAGCCCAAGTAGTCATATTCTTAAAAACATTTTGCGCTTTGAAGGAAATGAAAGTGGTTCATTGACAGTTGCGATGGTGACAGGGAGCGAGTTAAAATCTTCGATGCACAGGGAAAGCGGAGAAAATTTGTTTATTAGTCCTCGAGTCTAATGGGTCAATTCTGTGTACATGGTCTCACCGTTGATAAATGTAGGAAGGCAGATAACAGTATATAAAGTTAAGGTGTGAAAAGTGGTAGTACGTATTATAAAAAAGAGTACAGCCGAGAGAGTTTCTTACCTGTTGACAAAGGCGAAAGTTTAGATTTAGACTTGAGTTCTGAAACATTCGTCATGGGTGAGTATTCGGGATGAATTAATAGGACCTTTTTAGTTTGTAAGGACACTAAACTGATGACTAAGTAGCTTTGATGGGAGTTCGAAATGATACTTCCATATTCTAATCTTTAGCGGACGAGTATTTTATAAGCTACTAGTTTAGTTTAAAATGAGGCTTGGTTGAAATTGATGAAAAAGTTTATTTAAAAAAAGAGAAAAAAAAAAAACTTCTCAAAAAGTAAAAGCAGGTGAGGTACCGCGTCGAACGCCATGGAGAAGTCTATGAAAAGGCATGAGTAGAAATTGACGAGTTGATTTTTTTATGGAGGTTAGAGACAAAGCCTAAAGTTGAGATTGGCGACAGAGGTGTTTGCGGGAACTATGCTGAAATGAATGTAAGTGGTTATTTTGAACAAGGTTGTTAATTACTTGAGAGTAGATAACTTGCTCGTTTACGAGGTATGCTGGTGAGTGATATGGGCCTGCAGTTTGATGCAAGACTAGTGCTGCCAGGTGTGGAAACTGGAATAGTGTTACCAATTTTCCAATCATGTTGAATGTCTAACGTCATAGCCGAAGTCTGGAACAAGCTATTCACGCGTCTTTGGTTTTACAGTAACAGCTGTTAGTCGAAACATCTCTCCTAAACTGCAAGGTCGTCCTTCGCGAAGAACCCCGGTGAGGTCATCAATCACATTACCATTATCAGCCGCTGCCGCCGCCGCTGAGTTTGTAAGAAAACAAAAACTTTTGTTCGTTGAGCCGAATTCAAACAAGCGACTTATGAATAACCGCCATCTTTTCGTCCGCAGTCAAAGGCTCTGATACCATATCGCTGCCGCTTCTTTATTCAAAACTGAGGCGCTGACATCACCGTCGCGGATATGTAATCGACCTCGTGCCGCCATCCGCTAGAAGACGCGGCTCACATTTCATTACGCTTAACCGTTTCCCATGAATCGGTAACCGCCACCTGAGTCCGTTCCAGTTTGTGTTCAATATCGGATGCATGATTTCGGCTACAGTCTTTTCCTGGTTCAGTCCAAAATAACGGTTTTACTTCGGTTTTCGGTTCGGTTCAACACCCGGGTCAAAAACTACATGCTGATCGCGCATGATTACAACCGCTGCTTTGTCGCGTTAGATGGCACCAGGGACGACACATTGCCCGTCTACAACTATTCGGTTTGGTTGCTTCGCTCAAGGCGAATAATTTTCATCCTCAAAAGAGCAGAAGCCAGTGAGACAATCAAGTCGTGAATCACCTCCAATGCAATGATGCTGTTCCAAAAGCCACTTACAATGCGCAAGCGAATTTCGCTTTGCGCCCGTAGACCCTATGTGATAATTGACACAACTCGCATAGGAGCAGAGCTCGTTCTATTCCCACTCTATTCCGGGCAAGAGGCCATCTAATTCCACTCCCATTCCACTCCCTACAGCGCTGCCGCAATCCCATTTCCATTCCATCCCGGAGTCGCAAAAGTGAGGAATGATTCTGGAATCTTTCCGATTCTGGAGTGGCACCTACGCAACACCGGCCCGCATGGCCAATTGATATACTTTTAGTGTTACATATCATAAGCTTTAACTATATTCCTAAAGGTCAATTTAAGTCCTTAAAGGCCGACGACCAGACTCAAGATTCTACAAGGCAGAAGATCCTCCTCATCATGAGGGAGGAGGAAACAGGCAACGGTGGACAGGGTAGAAAAGGGGAGAGGAGGAAGCGAGGGGAAAGTGGAAAGCGCCAACTGGTCGTTGGTCTTTAAGCTCCGTCGCAGTCGGCGACGGAGTTATCTGCAGACAATGACCACATGACTCTGCAGATTCCACACCCGGCCGAGGAAAGTACGCCTACAAGGCCAAGCCTCCCTCGGACAAGCCATCGTCTTCTCCAGAAAGGGGGAGGGAAGCAACTGGTCACAGCAAATGACAGCGACAGCACCCACGCCAACGACAGAGGCGGCACCAAGGACCCGCTTGCAAAAGAGGCACACACGGCATCGGCAGCGGCAGTCGGCGACGGAGTTATCTGGAGACAATAACCACCTGACTCTGCAGATTCCACACCCGGCCGAACAAACTGCGCCTTCAAGGACAAGCCTCCCTCGGACATGCCATCGTCTGCTCCAGTAACGAGGAGGGAAGCAACTGGTCACAGCAGCAAGTGACAGCGACAGCACCCACGCCAACGACAGAGGCGGCACCAAGGACCGGCTTACAAAAAAGGCACACACGGCATCGGCAGCGGCAGTCGGCGACGGTGTTATCTGGAGACAATAACCACCTGACTCTGCAGATTCCACACCCGGCCGAGGAAAGTACGCCTCCCTCGGACAAGCCTCCCTCGGACAAGCCTCCCTCGGACAAGCCTCCCTCGGACAAGCCTCCCTCGGACAAGCCTCCCTCGGACAAGCCTCCCTCGGACAAGCCTCCCTCGGACAAGCCTCCCTCGGACAAGCCTCCCTCGGACAAGCCTCCCTCGGACAAGCCTCCCTCGGACAAGCCTCCCTCGGACAAGCCTCCCTCGGACAAGCCTCCCTCGGACAAGCCTCCCTCGGACAAGCCTCCCTCGGACAAGCCTCCCTCGGACAAGCCTCCCTCGGACAAGCCTCCCTCGGACAAGCCTCCCTCGGACAAGCCTCCCTCGGACAAGCCTCCCTCGGACAAGCCTCCCTCGGACAAGCCTCCCTCGGACAAGCCTCCCTCGGACAAGCCTCCCTCGGACAAGCCTCCCTCGGACAAGCCTCCCTCGGACAAGCCTCCCTCGGACAAGCCTCCCTCGGACAAGCCTCCCTCGGACAAGCCTCCCTCGGACAAGCCTCCCTCGGACAAGCCTCCCTCGGACAAGCCTCCCTCGGACAAGCCTCCCTCGGACAAGCCTCCCTCGGACAAGCCTCCCTCGGACAAGCCTCCCTCGGACAAGCCTCCCTCGGACAAGCCTCCCTCGGACAAGCCTCCCTCGGACAAGCCATCGTCTGCTCCAGAAACGAGGAGGGAAGCAACTGGTCACAGCAAATGACAGCGACAACACCCACGCCAACGACAGAGGCGGCACCAAGGACCCGCTTACAAAAGAGGCACACACGGCATCGGCAGCGGCAGTCGGCGACGGAGTTGTATGCAGACAATAACCACCTGACTCTGCAGGTAGGAACATTTTCATTATCTAATTTAAACACTCAACTCCCGTCGCCGACTGCAAACTGATGATTGCCCATTACTGATTACCGATTAAGGTGTCACTGAAATGCCGAAAGACGACGCTACCGATGACTTATGCTTGCACACTAAAACTTTCATAGGAAAAGAAGACAGTGTATTAGAATGTAACGAATGTCACTCCAAGTACCACTTAGGATTTCTCCCAGGAGTAACCGAAATCGCCCTCTGTGAGAAGAGGCCAGGGTTTAAAGAATTAGGGACGTGTCAAACAGGTAAGGGGGCAAGATTAAGAATTCAGAGCACACCTGAAGGCGGACAGCCCAGTCACGAAAAGCTGGATGTGCAGCTACAGCTGACTGAGTTAATGAGCATGTTGAGCGTGCTCGCACCACTCAAACAGCAAGTCTATGAGTTAGTTACAATGAAAAAAATTGTAATGGGCATCGAGAAGTCTGTGCAATCAATGTCGGACAGCTGTGATGAGCTGGTTAAGAAAGTAAAAAACCATCACAGCGAGATAAAAGATCTAAAAAAGACGGTCAGTGAACTTGAAAACGAGAAAAGGAATGACGAAGCGAATCAACTAAAAAAAGAGATAAACATGCTAGAACAATACGGACGTAGAAATAACCTCGAAGTACATGGACTGGCCGAATCACTGAACGAAAACCTACTGTACTTGGTTTCAGCTTTGGTCCGAGCGTGGCCGTTGTTATGAGCCGAAGGTTCAGTCAAAGAGCGCAAAAAGCGCAACGTCATGGCGTTCTCCGCTCTTGATAGGACGAGCCGGCGGAGGAGCAGCATGCACTGAAAGACGACGAACACCTCTGGACCTATCAACTGCGGAGAGCACGCCGTGACTGTGCGCCTTTTTCGCCGTTAGATTGGCCGTTCGGCTCATAACATCGGCCACGCTCGGACCGAAGGTGAAACAAAGTTTAGAAAAGCTGAACAAACTCGCCGACCAGACAGATGTGCCCAGACTAACCACAGATAACGTAGCTGTTCACCGTATCCCCACTAAAACAAAGAAAACACCATGGTGATTTTTACGCTTTATCAACTGAAACGATCGAGATGCGTGGCTTAAAAATAAACAGAAACTGAGGAGTGCCGCAGAAGTAGATAACGTCTATCTAGAAGAAAACTTGACCGCTTCAAACCGAAAGTTGTTCTTTGATGTCAGAACAAAAGTAAAACACCTCGGGTGCAAGTTTATCTAGCATAAAGAAGGATGCTCGTATGTGCGAAAACGAGAACGCGACCCGACTCTAAGAATCGAGCACGAAAATGACCTTGCAAAAATTAGGAAGTACATTCACCATATTAGACATGGAAAGGAAAGAAACGTGTGTTTCTTTTGAAAAGTGGTGGGATAGAATAAACACTATTGTTAACGAGTTTTGTTTTGTGCTTCTACACACCAATGTACGTATTCTTAAAAAATAATTTAATGAAATTAGCAGTTTGATAGACCCTTATCTGGACAATATAGACGTAATAGTATTATCAGAAACAAATATTTCATCTGATGAAGAAACAAGCTTGTTCTCTCTAGATAATTTTGAAACATTTTCGCATTATAGAGACGGAAAGAGAGGAGGAGGTGTCATGATCATGATAAATCAAAAGTGTTAAATAACCAAACACGACAAAGTAAACTTTTGTTCAACGGAGGCACTACACATTGAAATTGAATACCACTGAAAGAAAACTTCTATATTAGGATTATATCTAGGGTTCCGCGTTTTCGGTTTCTATTATTTCATAATTCGGCGTACTTTTTTCGGTGTTTATTTTAAAATTAAATTTTCGTTTTTTTCGGTGTATATTTATGCCCCCAAAAGTTATCGGCTTCTTTCGGTGAATTCAAATAAATACTAACGGCCACCGGATCAGACGATCCTTGTAGCTTTGATATTTGTGATCACTCAAAGAATAGCTGCACAGATACATTGAAAAAGGAATCGACACTTTATTTGGCAAATGTGAACAACTGTAAAAAAAAAACAAAAAAAAGACGGAAGTACAAACAAGTTAGATATGAGCCCTATGCCCGACACACATGAAACTTTACCTTCTGTACATCGGGATTACGTGATCTTATTATAGTACACACATGTACTTTCCCATGTTTTCTTCGTTGATCCGCACTTTTTCTTTTTTGTTAATATGACCCTGAGCGCCGAGAATGCCCTATCAACGATAACACTGGGCACTGTCGGGCTGAGGAGGTGAAGCGCTGCTTGAGCGAAAATCGGCCAATCAACCAGTTGTGACCGCCAAAAGAGACACGCTGCGACGTTTTGAAGCACAACACAACATGCAGAGCTTGCATCCAGTCTTCCTTACAACGAGTTTGAAAACAGGCTCGTACATGGCGGAGTCATGGGGCATTTCGGACTTCAAGTTTCGATGATGGCATCCGTGTATCCCATACATTCGGACACGTTTCGGTCGGCAATGCCGTTCCACTTTTTCGCCACGGCTCTGCGGTACGACTGGAAGGTCAAAGTGATCTTTTCCGGTTAGAACTGAATTTTAGAAAATGAATTCGCGTACTTTTATCGGTTTTTATTAGTTTAAGTCGAAAATGGCGAACCTACAAACAACCTTTTTCGGTTAAAACCAAATTTCTTAAAATGAATTTGGCGTAGTTTTAAACCAAAAACGAAAAAAATGGATTTGGCGTATCAGTTCAAACTGAAAACTCGGAACCCTAATTATATCGAGCACCTCAGGGAAATGTAAACACATTTTTAGATGATATCAATAAATCGCTAACGACAACAAAGACACAGATTTAATAGTTGCAGCGGATATTAATCTTGACATCACGAAACCTAGTTTAATGATAAATTATTACCTAGATGATATGGCACAAGAGGGACTGGAATCAATGATATATGAATTCACAAAAGAAGAGATATTAGGCGAGAAACTAACACAGTCATGTATAGATCATATACACGTGCGGTCGAAGGAAGGAAAACCCGAAGGACAGGTAATGTCTGAAAAAGTGGCTGACCATTATCTTGTGGCAGTAACTATTCCAGATCTTATCCAAAACAGTAATACAATTGTTGAAGGCTCATTTATAAATAATAAGAAAGTCGATAAATATATCGAAGAAATTGACTGGAAAGTTCTCGCCAGAGCAGAAAACCCAGAAAAAGTATACGATAATATTGTTAAAATATTCCATGATATTTATTCAAAGTCAACTCAAAGATGCAGTACGAAAAAACTTAAACAACAGAATCAATGGAGAACTAAAGAAATTGATGACCTGATCAATGATCAACATGGTTTGATCAAATTAGGCTAGAGATATTAAATACCATATCACTATAATGATACCTGCATTATTACAGTTGTACAATCGTATATTTTCCAGCGGCCTCGTCCCAAAAAAGCTTGAAATATCCGTTGTTCGGCCTATATACAAGAAAGGTGAGAAAAATAAATTCCTAAATTATAGACCAGTTTGCATACTTTCTGTGATAAATGATATAATGGAAAAATACATTAATAAAGTTCTTAGGGGCTATATTGCTAAATATAGCCTATCAACTAACACGCAATATGGATTCAGGGAACATATAGGAATCAGTGACCTTCGAAAAGACTTTTTTGACTATGTAAATGAAAACATCGACGCCGATAATTATGCTCTATCTTTATTCATAGATTTTACCAGGGATTTCGAAACAATTAATCATGATAGCTTAATGGATAAACTGTATAGTATTGAAATTCGAGGGAAGACATATGATTTATTTCGAAATTATCTTAATGATCGGTTTCAGGTAGTACGTTTAGGCTCAAAATATAGCAAGGAAATTAAGGTAAAACAAAAAGTACCACAAGGTACGGTCCTCGGTCCACTACTTTCTAATATATATGTTAACGAGATAGCACAGGTTAGCTTAAAAAGTAAGCTCCTTCAATTTGCAGATGACACGGTAATTGTATACGCACATAGAAATTACGAAGTAGTGGCAATGACTATACAAGATGATATACATAAAATTATTCAATGGTACCGTAAAAACCAAATAATTGTAAACGTTCCTAAAGCGCAAGAAATATGCTTTAGAGATCCAAGAAAAAAAAACGTAAATGAATTTCCAATAAAAATGCATGATCAGAACTGCGACAACTGCTCGTGCATCCCCGCTAAAATACGCTGATAATGTAAAATGCCTGGGTATGCACAAAGACAAGCATGTTAAATAGGATATTCACATAGACCAGGTTTGTAAAAAATTAAGGGTATTAATGGCACATATGTGCCACATCCAAGAACTAGTACTGCGATCCATACTTAAAATGATATACAATGCACTAGGCAAATCCGTACTTTAGTATGGAATAGCAGTTTACGGGCACTGTGCCAAGTAGTTACAATTAAAGATAGAATCGATTCAAAAAAGGATAGTTAGGAATATTGGTTACCGAGGCGAAGGAACTAACCTCTAAGATTATATGCATAAAGAATTAGGAATATTACGTTTCAGAGATCAAATGAAGTATGATATTATTATAAAGCATTTTTTCAACAATAAATATAGGCGCGAAAATAAAAAAGAAAGGACATTAAGACCCAATAAAAAAATTGTTGAACAATTTATAAGACCAAGATATGGAGAGGCCACAAGGAAATATTACACACTTAAGCTTTATAATACATTACCCGATGAGCTACTAGAAATAAGATCCCCTAGAATGAAACAAATAGTAAAAAAGTGATATTTGAACAGGGGAAAAAAGATTCTTAAAAGGTAATAGGTATATTCGATGAGTATCCCCGAAAACGCAGGATATAAAAGTTTTTTTTGTTTTTTATTAGAATTATCTAGTAAGTTGTGAATTATATTTTTCTTTACGGTATGTAAATGCTAATTCAATATGATTCGTCGGGTTTACACATGTACTCATCAAAGTAGACGAACGAATATAAGTTTTAAAAGGAGGTGGGACTGTAGTAGCAGGTACTAATATTGGCATGTTTTGTTGTTTTAGTTATCTCTGCAATAAAAAGCAGAGGCTCCTGTCGCGTCCCGCGCCCAAGCCATTATTGGCTTATGGGGGCTTTATATTGTATTATTTTCAAAGAAAGTAAATAAAGATGGTTTGTGCATTGTATGGTATTGTATATAGCTGCCGCGTGGAAGCTCCGTTCCTTGTTAGTCGTCACTTATGGGCGCAGCACTCAATGTTTGAACGACGCAAAATATCTATTGACCTGTTTAATCATCAGGCAACATGCTGACCTCAGTTCGCACTTGTTTTGGTATATATTTCCCTTAGCGAACCTTCGACCACTCTTGGCTTTTTAATATAAATTCCGATGGTCATTTCTATTTTTTTTTTCATGCGTGTTTTTGTTTAGCTACACGGGTCAACAAGTACCGGTTACGTACTGGCGCCGGATCGCAAAAAGCCTGCTACGCCAAAGTAAGTGGAATGAGTCGGAACTCTACTCATGTCACGCACGCGACTTCCTGTTTTGCCGAGCGCAACGTTACTAGATCAAAGTCAGCTGACACTGCTTCCTAGAACGACTAGCGCCTTTTCGTGTGCTCAAAAGTCTACACAAAAAAGAGCATCGTTCCGAAACGGTCGTTCTCTGTTGCTCGTGGTGGTGTTAACGCTGGTGACGCTGGGAACGTTATCTGCCCGTACCTGTTCGCGTGCAGGCAACAGGATGGTGTCTTCTCTTTTCTAATTACGTTGTTGTTTGGAGCTTGTTAATAAATCTAAGATCGTTGGCAGTTGTCATATCTCTGACCTCGGACCTGTTATCGGAAGAGCGATTGTTTTCTCTGCTCAGAAATTTATGGTACTAATGCTAAGCGGGGGATTGATTGCGTGCTCCGAGACTGATATCAGTTGCTATAAAGTGCAGTACATTTTCGGAGACAGGACGACGTTTGTCGTTAAATAAAGTTGAGAAACTGAATCTTCGTTTGTCGCATACTTGAATAATAAAACTTGAGGACGCCTAAGCTTCGCTTTTAGGAGTGGAACGCGATAGCTTAATATATAAAGCCCTGCTCGTTCCCAAGCCCCGCAAGTGTGTCTGTGTGGCCTGGTAAGCGTAGAAGAGGGCGGGTGATTGAATTCCCCTTACGGCCGCCGTAACGAACGGACTTGTCCATGCTTATAGCTCCCTGACAACGGTAGCGGCCGTGCCCGTCCGCTGTCATAAGGCAATTGGCTCTTCGCCGAAGGATTCTCGCCCGCAGCTGCCGCCGTTGCCCACCGGAGAGACGACAGAACTCGGCGTCGTTTTGCGCTCGTAACCTCGATGAGCGACCATACAGGATCGAAGACTTCAATCCTACCCACACTGGTCTTCACATCAACCGTAAACGGTGACCTCAATCCAAACTGAAAGCTTAGAACCTTAGACAAAACAAACAACAAAACGAACACACGAACCCACTTCATTCCAGCCACCGTTTACGTCACAGTTTACGGTCGATGTGAAGACCAGTGTGGGTAGGATTGTATAGATAACAAAGGTTGACCTTGTGACGTCCGTGGTCGGTGATTAGGTTGTGGATATATAAGACATTGAGGAAATAAACCCAGTAGCTGAGTTTGAGACGTTCTTTTCCCCTGTCTTTCTTCTTCGACCAAGTTTCTCAGCTTTTCCCGCAGTCTCGGGTTTTCTACATCATGATCAACGTATATAGGAGTACTTCGCTGCGGCGAGTGACCGCCAGTCATGTCCTACTTTTATATTATTTGACCTAAATAGAATTAAAATGTTATTACGCCCTTTGTTAATTTACAACATTAGAATATACTCGTTGGCTTGAAGTAAGCAGACTTGTACATAGTTCAACAACTCTACTGAGGTTACTGTCCTTAACTACTTTTCTGAGTAGTTTAGTAAGTTTCAATTACATTTCTTTTTATTTCGGTAGTTAGTAGTTTACTTTAATTACATTTTCTGAGTAACCTCTATTAAATTACAAATTACTTTTGAATTTTAGCGTTTGTTTTGCCTATAACAAGTATTCCTGCGCAAAGGAGATGAGATGGAAGATCAGATGATAATTGCAAAGAGGGGGGAGCATGTGGCGTAGGAAAGGAGGTGGGAGAGAAAGTGGGTTGGAGAGTCCAAAACATAACACAACGCCTTACTTGTGCCTATATTCTAACGCGCCTGCGGGGTAGCACAAGTGCCAATGTGTGCCGCCATCTACCCCCTGATGACTCGTGTTGCCGGCACGTAAAGCTGGGCACATAACTAAAAGAGCAGCTAAGACGTGTAAAGAGAAGGGGAAAGGAAACAAGCGATGTTTCGGACGCTCAACCTTGATGGAGAACAGACATCGGAAGTCTGCGATCTCTGATTTCTTGTACAGAATTGGGGTGCTTACAATTTGCCCGATGTATCCTTAGACTCGACGTTCCGGGTACGTCTGACGTACCTTTAGACTCCGCCTTCCGGATACGTCCGACGTACCTTTAGACAGAGTGAAAAAAAAATATAAAAGGAAAGGTTTTGAGAAGAGATCGTGGACGTCCTCCTGCCCGGACTTGTTCGCAACTTGACTGCCAAGATCATTTTTGTAGAGAATTAGATTTTCGTCATTGATTAACATTTATATATTTTGCTCCCTTGCGGAACGCAATAATATAGCAGTTGATTCATATTTCGCCTGGTTTCATGAAAAGCGCGAGTCAGGCCGTCGGGCCACATTGCACCAAACGCCGGGGACACGTCGAGGAAAAGCGCCGTGTGTTGTTTGGCGACCTTCCCATCTTCTTTTTTGTCAAAAGAAAGCACCCGCCAAATGCCCTGATCACGCACGTTGAAACGCACGTAAATTTGTTGAGAATACGTCCTATGTGAGTTACGGCCTTAACGCGTTCAACGAGTGCAGCGGTGACAAAGACAGCGAGCTTTAGGTCTACCCACTAATCCTTCCAATCAGAACTCGGCGGTCTGACGTCCATGCGCGCTCTTGTTTCCTACTTTCTCTCAGTTTCTCGGCGCATTGATTGGCAACATCGGCTAATTTCCCAGGTATGGTAAATAAAAGTTAAATGGTTTCAAAATTAACATTATATATTACCATATGCAATAACGCAAAGGCTAACAGAGTTGTGTGACTGACATCTTTCCCTGTCTCTTCAACTTTGATTGTTTAGAGATTTTCTCACTTAGTCTCAGGTGCTTTAACAAAATGCTAAACTTGCACCAATTCGCATGTGCCCTCACTGTGCTTTAGCAGAGTGAGTACGAAAATTAATGCCACTTTTTTAAATTATGGACGGCGCGGCAGTAATTGAATAAAGACACTTCATGTTTAGGGAAGCCTCTAGCCGTTAAGATACTCTTAAAGCAAAAGGCACTATTCTAGGGGGAACAGCTGATTTCATTTCAGGGTTGTTAACCTTCGCTCCCTCCCCCTTTTTTATGTAAACCAATACATAGGAAAAACAGAACATTGTCTTAACGATCGCCTTCGCGAACATGACAACAACATCGTCAACGCCAACTCTGGGCACTTAGAAATTTACTGTCATGATTTTATAGCTCGGCGCTTTTAAACAAGTGCACCGTGTTAATCAGGAATTAAACATCCTCAGATGGGAAATAATCGAAACTGAACACATTGTAAAACTGGATGACAGATGTGTTAGCATCCGTAACCTTGTCCACTAACATGGAGATTTGTCTTGGTCTTTTGCCCTCATTTGCCCCCCTTCTCCAGGGATTATTTTCGTTATAGATTACTTGGCCGCGGCAGGTTCTTTCAGACACTAGCGGATATTTCTGTCGGTTTCGCTTCGTGATACATGAAACCAGTAGAAGACGAAGTGTAACAAGTGACGGGATACAAACCAAGAGTTGACAGTCAGTGCTGTGCGACTGTTTATTTTATTGCGTGTTCGCGTCCCTAGACTGACAGTCCTACGGCTGCGCTGTTACGTTCAACATCCTCAAACAACCGTGAAACTCACCCATACAGCAGCCAACTCGCCCAGACTACAGTTCCTTGAAGACGCTTCACAACAAAGCAAACCAAATCTCCAACGTGCGGAGGCCCAGTGACTCGTCGTGGAAGCGAATGAAGTGAATGTGGATGTGTTCTTTTCTCACTTAATTTTCTCATTTTCTTTATTTTATATTTCTTGTATCTTGCTTCTTTTAATTTATACCTTGTTTCATCAATGTACCTCTATAGTGCATTCAATGTATCAAATATTATAAGGATGTTGTGATCGAGTGGATGAGCAAGACAAAATAATAAAGAATAGTTGATGGTCAGCTTTGTGTATATGTGCCTCATTGTGCAATTGTTAAATTTTCAAGCTGTTTCTGCATAATCATGTACAGAACAGCACGTGCTTCGTTATGTCAGTGATCGTTAGCGTAAGTCCCTAAGCAACAATAAAATAGTCGCAAGCCCCGCTGGACCAACACGGATTGAGACAGGTGTAATGCGAGTCTCCAGGAAAATATTTCAATTCAATTTCGTTTTAATTTTTATGTTTCCAACACATTGTTGGAGGCCCTCAAATGAAAAGCTCTCACAGAGAGCTTGATACTGTCTGGGAGCCTGTACAAGGAGCAGCGTTTCAGTCCTTTAAATTTACGTGGCACGTCGTCACATGAATTTACATAGCCTAGTTTTGACGCTCTTCGCAGCTAATTTATAAAGAAACAATCAGTTGCAGCACACAAATATGTTTATATGTAAAGTAATATAATAAATTTCAAGGACTGTGTTCCTAACAAAGTCCGTAAACAACGTCACAAGACAACCGTGGTTTCTTTTTTTCTCGAAAGCGGTGTTGAGTTTGCTGTTTCCTGGAAACCGATGAATCATATATTGAATTAAACATATTTTTTTCTCAGTATTTTCGGTTTTCAGTTCTGTGTGTTTTTGAATGGCCAGTGGGGTATCACAAACTCTGAACTGACGGCATATATACAAATATATATTCCGTGTGTTTTGGCGCAGACTGACGAATATTCCTAAAATTAGTGCATTCCGCGTGCACATAAAAAACAAAGGAAAAAAAAAATTCTTCAGAGTCGCCCGAGATATATTCCCAACGAAGCGAGGAAACGTAACTGATGAAAACTTCTAGAGGCGGCTAGCGCTTAAATGCAATTGCTACTGATAAGAAAACAATAAGCCATGAAGCAAAAGCAGTTGTGTATTCGGTTGTCAAAATAACGAGAAAAGTAACTCGTACTTTCGAGCTGAAGTAACGCGTTCCTTTGAGAACAGGTTTTTGGTAACGTTTTTAGTGAGTCAAGAGTAACAGTATTTAGTTACTTCTCTAGGATAACATGTACATGTCTGGTCAACAGTAGAAAATAACGGAGGGAATATACGCAAGTTCCAGGGCACCCAGTCGTGGTTCCTTGACCGTGGGCATCTTCAAAAGGGTGCCACACTCTTCCAGCACAAACTGCTCTGAGAATGAAGAGACGTAGACGCAAGATGTAGTGTTCTCGTATGTTTCGCACTTTTTATCAGTGGTTGTACCAAAAAATTAAACAAAATATTCGCGAGTTAACTTTCTGGGAGGGCACACTCTACGCTGTTTTGGTTTAGGATCAGGCTCCTGATGTGGCGTTGAGTCGCTTGCTTACATGCATGCTTATACAACGTGCAGTATACAAAAAGCCCCAATCCTATCTTTTTTTTTGCCAGTGGGTATTGTTTTAATTATTTCCTGTAAAGTGCAGACAGTGATACGTTTTTGTGGCCTCTCAGATTACGTGCTCGAGCAGATTACTTTATAAAATGGATTTACGTCTATGGTTCCCCCTTCGTTTAGCTTGCTTTTGCCCTAGTGCTAGTTTAAAGACCATTGCTAGGATTGTGTGTGTCATTAATGCTTTACACGATCTTGCCTAACGTTTATTTTCTACTGGATATTTTTTTGTAAAACATTTGATTTAGTGCATTACCTTGCATCGGAATTTACTTTTTTCGTGCGTTTTTGTGATCACCATGCCTAAGTTTTGGCAACCCACATCATTGATATGTTTATTATCGTCAGCTTATTCTTTATTTTGTGTCACAGCTGCCCGTAATCTCTCGTGAAACGTTAATTGCATGCCTGCTGTTGTATTGTACGCATCGTTTCCCGCTGCTTATGCTAGCAGCGATAACGCGTTATTTTATTTCAAACAGCATGTTTAAATCTGCTGCCGACCCACGTCCTGTGTATATGTATAATTCCCTCGCGACCCTCCATTATATCATAGAGCTGTGCTTTATATGCAAAACAGCCTTAGTTGCTACCTCCGCCTTAAACCATTTTATATTTACTGGTATATCTGCTGAATTTTTTTATTTGTTTTCAATAAACATGTTTTTATTATTGACTGTTATTTTATACGTATTTCTTAAAGTGTAGAACATTCACAAACACCAATCCAAGCGGTAAGGAGTTTAAGGTAGTGAATGTTTGATCGAATTGGAAGTTTGAAGTCAAAATAGCGCTCCAAAATTAATTAAAAATATCACACACCAATGTACTTTGCATTTCTACATTAATAGTTGTTTTAAAGTTTTGACTATTACACGTGCAAACGTCTGTTGATTTCAGTATAACGCGATCAAACAGCCATCCCTGACAGTGTACCTACTGTCACGCACTCGGAATCCGATTATTGTCCTTTGATTTGGTGAGGTGTGGTTCAAAAGCCGCACTGTCTCAATTGAAGAAATACGGTAACGTATTTCTTTTATTAACGCGGAACTTTCTGAGCGCGATCCCCCTATCCCGTCACTTGTTTTAAGTTAAATAAAGCGAGTTGCAGTTATGGGCCTTCCTCTCCCGACTCGGTCAGAATATGCAGGGTGTCTCAAATAGCACTCAGGCTCTTTAGGTCGACCGCAAAATTTGGTTTCTTAACCTATCGCGCTATGATTTTTTGTAGCATTTCCCACAGATGATACATTATTTTTTTTTTAAAAATTGCAAGGAACAGAACTTACCTGAGAAAAGAGTAAAAAAAAAGTCTTAACTCCTACGGAAACGCATCGCAGCCACCGTTCTTCAAATGATAGGGCACCGTTTGGTATGGAACACAAGAGATGACGCATGCGGTCGCAATGCCAACTGCCGCCAACGAACGAGCATATGGCGCCGAGAGCCGGCGTCTTTAGCAGACGATCTTTTAGACTCAAAAGCGGTCCGCGTTCCGCAGGCGGCGAAAGTTGCAGAATCAAAAACAGGCGCGGCAACAGCAAGGAACTGGAAAGCAGACGACATAAGTACCCCGAAAAAAAGTAAAAAGAACCCGAGAAACAATTTTTTTAATTCGATTAATTGTCCATTCAATGTTTTTTTTTATTAGTTAGGGTGATAAAATCATACATTTTCAGCTGACATCGAAAAAGCTCTCGCTGCTTTTGAGTTGAAACTATAGTCTGCTATTTGACGCCGGCTCTTCGGCGCCGTATGCTCGTTCGTTGGCGGCAGTTGGCGAACTACCGCTTGCGCCACCTGTTGTCTTCCGTGTCAAACGGCCCCTCTTGTTTGAAGAGCGGTGGCTTCGCTGCGTTTTCAAGGGAGTTAAGCCTTTTTTTTTTACTTTTTCCTTAGGCACGTTTGCTCTTTGCAAAATTTATAGAAAAAATGCACCATCTGTGGGAAGTGCTGCACAAAAATCGTAGTGCAGTAGGTTAAAAAAAAAAAACTGATTTTCTCGGCCGATTTTTAAGACCCTGGGCGCTATTTGGAACACCCTGTATATCTAAAAAATTCTCGGAGAGCGCAAAATAATGCACTCCATACCTAGTCGATTGCTGGCTTCTAAGAATTCGTGCCATGGGAACTGGAATTTGTTCCAGTCTATTAACTATTCGTTTCTCAAGAACAGTACCTATGATGGGTAATGATATACTTCAGAAACGCCGGATTCAGTATAAGGTGACAGGTAAAGTACAAAAGCAAATTCTTCTGTGTACGTTTATGCAGCCGGAAGTTAGTGTGCCTCATTGGGCGCCTGGTGTGTCTGCTCTAGATGAGCAATTTAGCCAGTGCGGTTCAACCGCTAGCCTGGGGTCTTCAACGTGCACTATGCAGTAGTGATACACGACCGCACGCCAGTACGATGCTCATCCAGATCGAAACGGGCAGGGGTTGGGATTGAACCAAGGATCCTGTGTTCTGCAGCGCGAGCTTTCGCTCCACGTGCTCCGAGCTGGTGTGCGCTAGACCACTCGGCCACCGATGCCCCTAAAAGTGGGTGAGATCGCACGCGCACCTTTACTTTTTATTGCACGAGAGGTGTTCACTAAGTATTGTAACTTTGTTGAATGTCATGTGTGTGTGTCTACAAAATGTCTTGTTGAATGTATTTCATACAATGTAACAAATATACGAGAGCAGAGACGGCTGAACAACAAAGGCGACATATTTTCCCCTATAGTCTGACAGTTTGCGCAGAAATGGGGGTATAAATCTAGGCTGCATAAACTGCCGGGATGTTTCTTGCCCTCGTAAATTTGAACTTCCAGAAACTGCCTATGCACGAATGTTTTTGTGTGCGTTAGCATTGGTGCCCTGGTACATGCGCTGACCTTGGACTGGTTAGAGCACACGTCATGTCTTCCGAGATCCCGAAGCGCACGAACGCTTCTCCGCCCGTCCCACTCGTGCGGAGAGGGCGTAATCAGAAAAAAGAGGAGGAGGTGGGCGTCTATCCGCGGGAAGGCGCTTGCAACCCAGTCATTGACAGCATGGCGCAAGGCAGAAGAGTTCAAGAAAACGTCTTGTTACGTTGAGTTACTGCAACGTGTACTTAAAAATGTTTCGGTATTGTAGTAGGATGGCGAACAGCTGCTCTGGGAGCGTACATAAAGAATTCGCGATGGATATTTAATTATTTAATTTGATATATTTGTCTGGACATGTTGCGGCTAGCGCTATAAGTGCGCCTTTTGAAATATTTGATTGTTCTTTGTAGCACGTATAAAAATTTCAGAAAAAAAATTAGCTCCGTACAATAGAACTTCACAGTTTGTGGCAATGATGAACTACGTTCTTGTATTTTTAATAAATAATAATAAATTAGTTAATACGCTGGAAGACGCCAGATCGCTAAAGAAAAAATTGGGTGGACAGACTTTCATAAGTCAGGCAAGTCAAATGCAACAATTACTCGTATATTAATATTTTACAAGTGTTAATATAAAACTAAAGTCCACACGCGCTAATACGACCACATTCACATAAGAACATCATGTTATTGTAAATAATTTACATCGAGTTGAAATTATAGCGGCTCAGAAATATATAAGAAATAAATCGGGACTCCGGAATCATTGGCGACGATATTCACAGATGCGAGGTCAGTCTCCAAAATGCGTATTCAAAAAATATTCGAAGTAAAACCATCAGGAAATAAACTTAAAAATAATGCAAAGATACAAATATGCGACAGTACTGGAAGAGGGACGTAAAAAACTAGCAAAAAAGAAAAGAAAAATAACTTCATAGTCAAATAGAATTCCCAACCTCAGCTGAAAGTTCAAGCTCAATTTTTGTCATCTTTCAATATTTTGGCATGTTTACCCTATTGTAATCTGCTCGCACCACGGACGGCGCGACACGGCGCCGTTGAGGTAGGCCCCAAAGAAAATTGTCACTCAGCCCGCAATGTAAGCGAAAAAAAAAACAAAAAAACAGCGACGTTACTTTTGTTGTGCATGCCTGTGCATGAGTGTCCATCTGTGCGAATGTGTCACCGAGCGCCAAGGCTGCTTGTGCCAGCGTTGGGGCTTCCGAGAGGTTCCGTCGGTGCTGCAAAGTTTTGCGAAAGTAGTTGTAATTGTGCCTAAAATTTAGCAATTCCTGACGCGAGAAAGTAATTAAATTATAATTACGATTCCTTTTCACTGAAAATAATTAATTACCACTACGAATTACCTAAATAAGTAACTAAATTACAGGAATTCAATTACTGTAATTGAATTACTACTTAAGTATG